TAAGAAGGCTAAAAGGATAGATCAAGCAGGTGATTTGTCTTCAGCATAGAAATAATTAGGAAATAATATGAATACATATTCACAAGCTTCCTGTACAGGCCAAGCATGCTTGTAGTTTCCTTCATTACAATGTTGAATTGTCACCCCTGTGGATGTCCTTCGTTCCTTCTCTCTCTTTCCTTCTTCTTCCTTCCTTCCTTCCCTCCTTCCTTCCTTTTCTTTTTTCTTTTCTTTTCCTCTCTCCCTCCCTCCCAGAGCTTCAAGGGCACAGAGACCCCAGAGGATGTGGCGGGACAGGTGAAAAATGTCAAGCTTGAGGAGGAAGCCAAGCCCAAAGAGACAAAACCGGAGGAAACAGTTGAGGAGGAGAGCGGAGGGGCCTCGATCCTCCCTGAGCTGTGGACTGGCTCTCTTCCGGTTCTGTACAGTGAAGGGATGCCGAGGTTTCCTCTGGTGCCAGTTCTGTAACTTTGAGAGCATCTCCGAATGTACAATGCAGCCCATCCGTGCCCCTGTTTAAAGGAGCGTCTCTGACGTTGAGCACGCCCGATTCTGTGCTCAGATCGGTCTGAGCAAGATGATTTCATGGGAGGTGTTCCGCTCTCCCAGGGAGTAGGGGCTCCGGGACCCCGTGAAGGGGAGGCTGGAGAGGCTCCTTTCAGGCTCAGGTGCCGACCTGAGAAAACCAAGGATGACGGACGATGCTTTCCTCCAGGGCCCCCCCAGATACACCAAGTCCGTGATGAAAAAGGGCGACAAGGTCAATTTCCCCAAGAAGGGAGACACCGTCCACTGCTGGTACACAGGGAAGCTGCAGGATGGGACCGTCTTTGATACCAACATTCAGACCAGTGAGTGCTCAAAAGAAGTGGCTCCAGGGCGCCTTTTTCAAAGCGGGAGGAGGGGGGGCGGTTGGCCCTTCCAAAAGAGGGTCCGCCTGGGGGCCTGAAGGTGGACCAGGAGCATCTCTGCTGAAAGGGATGGCCTAAGACTGATGGGCTCTTGTTCCCCTCACAGGGATTTCATCCCGTCTGTACCCTCCCTCCAGGTTATCAAAGCCACCCTCTTTCCCGAGCAGCTGAGTTTTTGCCAAGTGGGTGGGCCTGAAGACCTGCCAGCGGCGTGGTCTCAGTGACGAGGAAAGAGGCGTTTCTGATCAGCTCCCTTTCACCGCTGGCATCCCCATGCCGTTCCAGAGAGTCCCCCCCCCCATCCAGCACTAACTCTGACGTGGGATGGATGGGGAATGCATTTCGCGGGTGCTCTGTGGCCTACCAGGCTGTGTCCCGTATATTTGGTTTCTTAAGCCTGGTATGCACGTGTGTGTTTGTGTTTATGCACCCACACAGATTTATGATCAGTCACAGGTGGAGGTTTAGCAACTAATCGGATATTTTGTTATATCCATTGCTGAGCTACAGCAAAGTTCTGATCATTTCCTGTTCAAGCAGTTTGGTGTTAAGACACCTTACCCTGTGCCCAAATCAAGTGCCCCCCCAGCATGAGTGCAGGGCACTGTTGAGTTTTATAGACCCCTCTTTTTAGTGCCATCCCCAAATCCTGTTAAAGAGGGTTAAATGTTTTCTTTACGTGATCTAAAAATAGGGAAACAAACGAAACAAACAAAACCCAGTGGCCCGGGGAGGGAGGGGGGGCTGGAATGGGGCTCCAAAGCTTCCACTTCCATTTTTCCGGGTCCCAGGCTAAGGGAAGGGGGTTCATCCTGGCTCCCAACATTTTGGCTGATGTGCTGCTCTCGACGTGCCTTTTCAGGTAGCAAGAAAAAGAAAGCCTCCAAGCCGCTGAGCTTCAAAGTCGGTGTTGGAAAAGTGATCCGGGGCGTAAGTAGGGGAGTGGCGGCGGCAGTGGCAGCGCAGCTGGTGTGTGTCCGTCAGCCTCCCTGGGCCCTTCTGCCGCTGGGAAAGGCCTCTGCCGGGCTGCTCTGAGGCCACCTGCTTGAGTTCCTCCCGGGAGATCAGAGAAGGCGTTGATGCCGTCCAGCCCTTCGGCCTTTTGGCTTCTTGCCTGCGACAACAGGCATGAGGTCGGAGTTTGAAAGGCTGAGGCACAGCCGCATTCTTTGGGGGTGTGTGTGTGGTGTGTGCTTGCATGCACGCTTGCGCCTGTGCCTGCCTGCAAAGTAGGGGTTGGCTGCAAACCTTCCATTTCCTGAGCTGGATTGGAAACAAGGACCAACCCCCTTGCCTGCTGTCCTTCATTGAAATGTGGAGGTGGAACTCGAGTGACAAATGGGTTGTGTTCTGGACCTGGTTTAGGAAACAAGTGATTTAGCCTTAAAATACAGTGCATTTATCTGGTCCAAATGCTACAGGCCTGTCATAGGGAAGCGCGTAACCCCTTTCATTGCAGGAGCTCCACTGGCTGCCCGCCTGGTTCGGAGCAGAACTGGACAAGCTGGTGGTAACCTGCAAAGGGGGGGTCATCGTGGGGCTCCCAGCTCTCTTGTGTGTTCTCTCACGCACGACGGCTGGCCCGTGTGCAGGGAAGCCTCGCTTTCTCCCTGGCTGCCTTCATGGCGATGGGGATTCGAGAGAGGGTCTTGGTGGCGGGGCTGCCCCCCAGATTGCCAAGCCTCTGCCGGCCCCTTGGGTTGTCCTTCCACCAGCAGACTGAGACTACCTTCAGGCAGGTTATTCACAACGGCTTGCTTGCCCAGAATAAGTCTTTTAATAAGTATGCCCTTTACTAGTACTAATGGGACAGCCTCTCCCATTTTGAATAAGAGGCCCTTGTCCAGCAGGCCGAGGCCAAGAGGCCATCCCGAAACCAGCAAAACCAGGGAGCTGAACAGGGGACAGATTGCATTTGTCTCCAGTGTGGAAGGGATGGTCATTTGCGAATTGGCCTTCTCAGGCACACTAGACTCTGTTCCAAGTCCTCTATTCAGAGCACGTGACCATCGTCTCTCGGGACTGAAAGATGCCTATTCTACTAGTACAGTGATGCCCCGCTTGACGATTACCCCGCTTCACGACGAATCCGCTTGACGATGAGTTTTTTATGATTGCTATTGCGATGATTCAAAAAGGTTTTTTTACTTAACGATGATCGGTTCCCTGCTTCGTTTTTTTGTGATTGCTATTGCAATGATTCAAAAAGGTTTTTTCACTTAATGATGATCGGTTCCCTCCTTCGGGAACTGATTTTTCACTTAACGATGGTTTTAAAACAGCTGATCGGCGGGGCGCCAAATGGCTTCCTGCTGTGCAAAATGGCTCCCCGTTGTGCAAAATGGCTCCCTGCTGTGTTTAGGATGGATTTCTTGCTTTACGGGCACTGGAAAATGGCCACCCTATATTATTAAATGGCTCCCCGCTGTGCAAAATGGCTCCCCGCTGTGTGTAGGATGGATTCCTCGCTTTACGGGCACTGGAAAATGGCCGCCCTATGGAGGATCTTTGCTGGACGATGAGGTATTTCCCCCATTAGAATGCATTAACCGTTTTTTAATGCATTCTAATGGGTTTTTTACTTTCACTTGATGATGATTTTGCTCTACAACAATTTCAATGGAACGGATAATTGTCGGCAAGTGGAGCACTACTGTAGTAGTACTATTGTAGAATGTGGTAGTAGCAAGGAGTAAGTGATTATTGTCGTCAAGTGGGGCACCACTGTAGTAGTAATACTGTAGAATGTGGTAGTAGCAAGGAGTAAGTAGTAATGCTCTGAATGGTACTCAGGCTCTGATGCAAAGGGAGAAACCTGCAAGAAAAGGACCCTGGTAGGATCTTCTTCGGCACATCCTAAAGCTTTCCTCCTTTTCAATCAGCTCAGAAATATGGACCTTCTGGTCTGTTCCTCACCGTTTTTTCCCCCTCAGTAATACTGTAGAATGTGGTAGTAGCAAGGAGTAAGTAGTAATGCTCTGAATGGTACTCAGGCTCTGATGCAAAGGGAGAAACCTGCAAGAAAAGGACCCTGGTAGGATCTTCTTCGGCACATCCTAAAGCTTTCCTCCTTTTCAATCAGCTCAGAAATATGGACCTTCTGGTCTGTTCCTCACCGTTTTTTCCCCCTCCCAGTGGGATGAAGCCCTGCTGACCATGAGCAAAGGGGAGAAGGCGCATTTGGAGATTGAACCGGAGTGGGCGTACGGGAAGAAAGGACAACCCGAGGCCAAGTATCCTTGTGGAGCGCGCCATCATGCTCGTTGTGTGTGTGTGTGATGCAAAGGGGCAGCTGGGCCTGTCCCGGAGGAGGAGGGGGAAGGAGGAGGCGCAAGGAAGGACTGGTCTGGGGGGGCACACAGCGTGGGGCAGCCCTTGGAGGCTGACATCTCTCCCTTTTGCCACCACTCCGGGAGAGCAAGACGTCGCTTGCAAATCTGTGGCTTCCCTGTAGCCGGATCCCACTAGGTTTCTGAATCAGTGGTTGAAAATCGTGCCAGAGAAAAAATGTCTCTGTTCCAGAACAAAATGGTCCCCGTGTGGCTGAAGGGGTTCTTCAGTGACTGAGCTTATCNGGAGGAAGATGCTGCCAGTGCAGTGTGAGAAACAGAGAGCATCGTTTCTTATAGACCCTTCTGGGAAAAGGCAGTAGAGAGACAAGGTGACTCTCCCATCTCTCTCTCACACACACACACCAAATCTCAGGCTGGGATCCTGATCAGCGCCAGCAGGCTGCACGCGGACAGAGGCCCTCCTGCTTGGTGCAAGCAAGGGAACCGAGGGGGCTTCCTCGTGACACCCCTTGCAGGAGCCCCAGAACAGCCAGCTAGGCTCACACTGCAGATCTGTGATGATCCCCTCTTTTGAAACAGGTGAATCCCAGCCTAGCACTGGGATGGCTTTACAAAGTGTGTCACCCATTCCGTAGAGAAAAAAGTTCCTTAACTTCTGTGCCTCAGGATTCCACCAAATGCAAAACTTTTCTTTGAAGTCGAACTGGTGGATATCGAATGATGGACTGTGCTCATCCTGGATGACGCTGAAGACCTGGGATGCCGGGAAATGTGAACGCGGCCTTTTGAAAAGTGTGTGTGTGGGGGCTGGCTGGCTTTTACTTCCATTGTTATACAGCACCAATGTAACTAAAGACCGGTTTCTATATGGCTTTGACGTTCATTGAATGGCCACGGAAGAGCAGCAAACGGCCTTAAAAAGCGCTGCTGCTGGCAGCTGCATTTTCTCCAAGGAAATCCCTAAGCGCCTCTGGCTGTCCTGTGGAAAGGGGAGTCACAGCTAAAGACAGAGCTGGGAATGAGCTGGTTGCCAATGGGTGACTAGCGAGCTGTTCAGGGTTGGCCTGGGGAGAACTGGTTCTTGCTGTTTTGAGAAGTGTGGGTGATCACGGAACAAAGGAAGGCTAATTGCCTTAGAGAAAGAGCAAAGGAGTCAACAAGGGATGTCCAAGCCAGCGGAGCCCACAGGCAACGCCATGATAGCTTCCTTTATTGACTTAGCATGAGTTACATAGTATGTTGTTAGAATTCAGATAGGATACCTAATCGTAACCAGGATTGGCTGAAATAACCCTTTGATCTTATGCTCTACCTCTAAGCAAAAAAGCAGACGAAGGGGCCACCACGCCTGCTGGCAGCTGCCGCTTCCTGCTAGAAGGGGTCACCCCGCCTGCTGGCAGCTGCCGCTTCCTGCCAGGAGTGTCTGTGCCCGTCACTGGAACGCAATGCAGCTACAACATTTAGGCAGGAGTTTCCCACAGAGAAGGGGAGCTCCCTCCCTCCCTCCTTCTTTCCTTCCTTCCTTCTTTCTTTCCTTCTTTCTTTCCTTTGTTACCGGCCAATTTTGGGTTTCGGTTTTGGGAATCAGGCGAGAATGCAACAGCTGAACCAAAGGTCCCATTGTATTTTGAATAGCAGAGTAACAAAAGGTCAGCTGGGACTTCTCTTAATAGCAGATCCCGATCATATAGAGTACAGACATTTCATAATGATATAAACAAAGAGCAATAAAATGCTACAATTCTATTGTTCAGTTGTACCCCAACTTTGGATCTAGCCCCTCATTGGGTAATTGGTGCCAACTAAGTTAATCTATTGGTTATATGGAAATATGCATATTGTGCCCCCATGTTTCCTTGACCTGTGGCCAAGATGAGCCTGAAAGTTTGGGGATAAGGGGTATCCCTTTCTATATATTCGGAACACGGCCAAAGAGCCTGAAAAACCTGGCACAACCATGGTATCCCTTTCTCCTTATCTGTTGGCATGTTGATGTGTCTTCTTCGTGGGCCAGGATGTATGGCCTTCAGTACTGTGAAATGTTACAACCATTGTGGCTAGCTTCCTCCTACAAGCATTCCCAGGACGGGCCATTGGCTACATGAAAAGGTTAAAGGGCAGTAAGGGAGCGTTACCTTGTTCTTCTGTGTGTGCCATAAATACCTCTAGGTGAGGTGTGAATCTCTTTTCCTAGAGGCCCAAAGCGAGGCCTGTGTTCTCCCTTGGAACAGCTCAGCCATCTTCTCCGGAGGGGCATGCGTTCCAGATCAGCTGTAGTAAAGGGCACATAAAAATATGCCAGCTATACCCTGCAGTCTGTCCCTATGATTAATTGTTCTCTTTGTGGAAAAATTCCTTCTGGTTGTTCATCACCTGACCCCCTCCTATCTTGACTAATCCCCTGTCCTCCTCCCTCCCTCCCTTTCTTTCCTTCTTTCTTTCCTTCTTTCCTTTTCTCTTTCCTTCCTTCTTTCTCTTTCTTTCCTTTCTCTTCTTTCTCTTTCCTTCCTTCCTTTTCTTTCTTAGGTCTTTTGAAGACCAGTCCTTTCATGAAACACAAAGGGGGGGGCGGCTCTTTCAGGTTTATTTCACCTCTTCCCCCCTCCCCTGATTTGTGTTCCCTATAAAAATGCTGATTTGAAGCTTCGCTTATCCGGTTAGCGAAGAATGATCGACAAGCAGCCTTTACCTTATTCAGGTAAAGGTTAGTTGCGACCCTAACAGCTATCCAATTATATTCCCTCGGGCTCTTCCTCCACCTACGCTCTAGCCTTCTCCTTGTTCGCTTCATTGCTCGAAGTTACTGGTTAAACCAGGGCGCTGGCCGAGCTCTTCGCAGGAGAGGGCGTTTAGGTGCTATCGTGTCTATAGCCCTGGTAGCAGAGATGGACCAGCTATCAGAGCGTCGATAGGAGCGCTAGGCAGGCCCGCCGTGACCCCTCTCATGGCATCCTGGAATCCAACAGGATCCAGTAGCCTTCGAGGGCGGACCATAGAAATAGGTCCCTACTCAAGGGTCAGTCACATCAGACCACACTCGCTCCAACTAGTGGAGAAAACCAGGGCCAACGTGTGGCCACCCACGTGGGTGGGGCCGTTGACATGTTGGGACATGTTCAAGGAAGCCATGGTTTCCAGGAACTCAAGAGCTGGCCCAGAAGTCTCTGCCCCTGCATGCACGTTGACATCACCCAAGACTAGAAGCCTTGGGGATCCCAACAGTGCCGCGGAAACAAAGTTGGGCAGCTCCAGAAGGGAAGTGGCTGGGTCGCGGGGAGCGCGGTAACCCAGCAAAATCCCAATACCATCCATGGCCCCAATCGACATGTGGAGTGCCTCTAGACCCGGCTTTACCACCGAGGAGCGCCTAGTAACATCCAAGATGGATTTATAAACAATGGCTACTCCACCCCACCCCTGCCCTTCCAGTCTATCCTGGTGCTGGACGGCATGACCGGGCGGACAGACGAGAGCAAGGGGAGGACCCCCCTCTCTGCCAATCCACATCTCAGTTATGCATGCCAGGTCTGCATCCTCCTCCAGGATAAGGTCGTGTATTACCTGGGACTTATTGGACCTGGCATTCAACAGCAGCAGGGATAAGAGTGGAGGGCTGGCTGGGCTGGCTACCTCGATACTGATGGTTGGACACAGTCTCAGACCAATGAACAGCCATCAAACATCTATTCACCGTTCTTCTGACACGAGTAGGGGCTGTGCCAACGCCATATCTCCCTCTACCCGTGATCACCAGGATGTTCAGGGGCCCTTCGCTGGGCAGACGAGCCTTCCACTTCATATCAAATTAAAGAAAAGAACGTAAAGAGAAAGGGAATACTCTAAATAATATCAATTTTTAAAAAACAGAAAAATACATACACAAATACCATATTAGAAGTCAAGGAAAGGATCCCAAATACAAAAATCCCCATGCATAAAATTAATTTTTTTAAAAAAGACACCCAAGTGCTTAACCCTCACGTGCAGTCCAAAACTCCTCCATCTCGTAACCTTGTCCTTTTGAATTTTGCTGATCTTGAGGTTATTTTTAGAATTAGTAACAGTAAAAGCATCAGAGTGAAGATGTTACTCATGGGTTGTATCATGAAGATCTTAATAATAAGTATAAGGTCCAAGTTAAAAGAGACTCAGTCCCTGGCTTTTCCCTTTCCCTTCCTTGGAGGAGAGGTAAGGCGACTCTGTAGCTAGTCCAGGAAGAGCAGGCTAAACAGTACGATCCTGAGGGGGGGGGGCGCCACTAGGAAATCCAACATGGCGACCGCCCAGCCAGAGACCTTAGCAGAAAGCACTCTCTTCTTTACGACAGCCCAAGGTCTTCCCTCGAGCTTCTTGTTTCCGAAGCCTGCGTTAGTCCGCTCTGCCTCGCCTAAAACCCAAGGCTGGCAGGGTTCCTGGACCTCGCAGCCACCACCTCCAGCCACAGAAAGCCAGGCAGTCAGAGCCCCAGGGTCCAGGATCAAACACACGGTCGGGACTCGCTCTCCAGGGATGGGGTGGGCATCAAGACACCAGCCTCCAAATCTTCTCCCCTCCGATTCTGGGCTGGGTCTGGACCCGCTCCCCTCCAGCGTTCACCCACCTCCTCCGGTGACAGACAAAGGCTCCCGAGCCTCCAAGCTCCGCCGGAAAGCCAGAGGAGCTCGTGACTGCCTCTTGGCCTCGGCCTGCTGGACAAGGGTCTCTTCAAA